GGGAGCCGCGCGCCGGGGAAGCGCCGCGAGAGCCCTAAGGTCTCGCGAGGCGGCGGGAGGGGTGGGCTGAGGCGAGCGGGCGGCCGCCTGCCCGTGCGCATGCGCGGCCGAGGGGCGGTGGCGGCGGCGCTGCTGCTTTTGGCGCCAAAAGGCGATGGGCGGGGCCGGAGCGGGCTGGGGCGGTCGCCGCCCCGGGTCAGCCTCAGTGTCAGCGCCTCAGGTAAAAGCTGCCGGGGGTAAGGGTGTTATTCGAAGGGTTTGAGGTTGCCTGCCCCCGCCATGAATCAGCCCCGGGAATGGGATTTATAATAGTGACTCGTGAGGCCCTTTCCCGCTTCCCTGCCCCTGAGGAAGGGTCTGTTGGAGCGGGGCCAGAGGAGGCCCCGGAGATGCTGTGAGGGCTGGAGCCCCTCTGCTGTGAGGACAGGCTGAGGGAGCTGGGGGGGTTCAGCCTGGAGAAGAAAAGGCTCCGGGGAGACCTTAGAGCCCCTTCCAGCCCCTCAGGGGGCTCCAGGAAAGCTGGGGAGGGACTCTGGATCAGGGAGGAGGAGGGGGAATGGTTTTAAACTGAAAGAGGGGAGATTGAGATGAGATCTCAGGAGGAAATTTTTCCCTCTGAGGGTGGTGAGAGCCTGGCCCAGGTTGCCCAGAGAAGCTGTGGCTGCCCCATCCCTGGAGGGGTTCAAGGGCAGATTGGAGGGGGCTTGGAGCAACCTGGGCTGGTGGGAGGTGTCCCTGCCCAGGGCAGGGGGGTTGGAACTCCATGGTCTTGTAAGGTCCCTTCCAACCCAAACCTTTCATAGAATCATAGAATTGTCTAGGTTGGAAAGCACCTTTAAGATCATCTAGTCCAACCATCAACCTAACTCTGATTTTAAAAAAAAACCATCACTAAACCACAGCACTAAGCTCTATGTCAACCCGTCTGTTGAACACCTCCAGGGATGGTGCCTCAACCCCTTCCCTGGGCAGCCCATTCCAAGGCTTGATAACCCTTTCAGTGTAAAAATTTTTCCTCATATCCAATTTGAACCTCCCCTGGTGCAACTTGAGGCCATTTCCTCTTGTCCCATTGCCCGTGATCCCAAGCTTTACTCCACACAGATGCCAGCTAGAGCCTTCTGGTGATTTAAAACTAAACCGTTTGCAAATGTCCCGGCTGTAATACATACCCCAGGCCCTCTGAGATTTGGCAGCTCTGAGCATAAAATGCCATTTAAGGACTTGGGCTGCAGAAACAATAGGAGAGAAGCTCCATGCTAACGTCTCCAGTGCCGTTGCATCTGAAAAAAATTCTGTTTTCATATTTTTACAGGTCAGTCCATAGAAGTGTATGTGACTTTAATTATAGGCTCTTCAGTTAAGCAAAATGAGAGCAATTAATGTCAAATATTAATACATTAAAGCAACTACTTTTCCCTTATTTTTCTATAAATTCAAATTTTACATATAATGTTTCTGGTAATTTAATGTATTCTTTCTAATATGACAAAGAAAATCAATTGCAGTTACTTTCCAGTTTAAAAAGTATTATCCTTTAGTCAAAATTATTTTATCAGTTAATGTTTAAAGTGTGTTTTCCCAAATGCAGCAGCATTTTTTATAGTTAAGAATACATTAGAGGGAGAATACATTAATGGATTTGTTAGCATTGAATCCATTTATCTTAACTTTTTACATATGGCAAATTTCTGCAATTGACTGAGGCACACAAAGTATGAAAGTAAGCACAAAGATATACTAATAATTATAGATCAAGTGCTGCTAATTTCCAGCTCAAAAGACCGTGAGGATTTGTGTTATATAAAATTACTGAAAATCAAATGTTTGTATGATGAGCTCTTTGCATTGAAAATAATAGTCACTCCTATATTAAAAAATCTTTACAAACAAATGAATTAGGTTTTGGGTGTAGCCTAAATATCTGATTCATAACTATTAGTGTGATGCATCTTTTCATGTAAATGTTTTCCTTAGTATTTAAGGGGGGGTTACGTGAAGTAATTGGATTTTAAATACTTCGCTAATGTGAACCAAACTTATTAGAGGCTCAAGATTTCAAAATTCCCTTAAGTCCCTCCATATTTTCTGCAAAATCAACCGGTAAATGAAAAGAAATAGCATGGTAGGGTTCTCCGAGAGCAAAGGTGGGGAGAAGATAGAATTAATTTACGTGGCTGGCCAGTCTCCGTATACTCAGGTAACACACTCTGCACAAGCAGAGCTCTGTCCTGTGGTAGGTGATTCATCTTTGCCCGAACAGGTAGATAACAGATAGGAAAAGAAGTGCTGGAAAAGGTATAAAAATTACCTTTTTTATATACCTATATAAATATATATATACCTATGTATATAAAAAATATACAAAGATTAAAGCAGATCACTTACAATCTCTGCAGAGGAGTAGAGTGTTATAAAACCTACTGTATTTATGCAACTTTGATTAATCAATATTTTTGAAGAGTGTTTAATTAGAGCCTGGACTTGATGACCTAGGTAGTTCTTTCCAGTCCTATGTTCCTAATTAAATGAAAAGCATATGCTGGCAGGCATTGATTATTGTTTTTTCCTCAGGAAATGAATAACCAGCCACATGCTGATAAAATAATAAGTCAGGGAAAAAAACCCAACAAACAACCCATAGCTTGCCTTTATTCTAGAAAACACTTTTGTTTTCTAGTTTAGGTGAAACGGAAACATTACTTGTTTGTTTCTATATTGAATAGTGTAATTTCATTAGAAAAATAGCAGAAATTTAGCACCTTATTTTATGTTTCAGTCTCATTTCCTGGTTTGTGTTAGATGTAATAGATGGCAAAGAAAATCCATAAAATGGGTAATTGGCTACTTACGCATTTGAAGGGTTTTACTCCCATGGGAGTTGTACTTGTTCTGCAAAAACCCTGTAAGTATTATGTTGGCAAAGCTGTTCATTCAACAGACCCAAGGCAAAGCTGGTACCATTGTAGCTGCGTTAGCAGGAGATCACTTCTTACACATCTAGTAAACTTCAGCTACTTGGGATTTATATCTTGCTAATCTACACTAAGTTGTATATTATACAGTCATCTTAAACATTAATTTCTAAGCTCTTAGTATATTACTAAACATTTAAGATTGTGTTTGGATCCACACTGTTCTTTTAAATCCCTGCTTTTGGGGAAAACAGGATTTGCAAGACAGGTTGGGATCTCCGGCTGTTTGAAAGCCAATTTGTCTGTCAGCCCCCTCCTAATAATTTTTGATCCTAATGGCTGTTTTGTCAAATTTGAATCAGGTTTTTTAAATTCCATTGCTTATGGGACTGATGATTTCCTTAAATTGCTTTGTTTACCACTAAATAGATTAAGAAGGATTGAATCTTACAAAAAAAAGTTTGCGTGCGTATGTTTTGGCAGTAAAATACCGAGCTTTATGTGGCAATGGAGTTTTAAAAGTTGGTTAAGTTAGTGATGCAATTAATCTATATAGTAATCATATTTTCCTTTTCATGCAAGAAACTAGACAAAATGCAGGTTTCCATGAGGGAAGAAAAGCGGTGATGAAAACAAGCTTCTTTGTTCCATTTCTATTTACAGAGACATCTTGTAGTTCTGTTTCTCCAAGCAGCGGCGGAATCAATAAATCAGGAAGTCTCACTGCTCAGAAGTCTTTCATAGAAATGACATGACCTTCTGTTTTTTCTTCTTCTTTTCCTCAGTGATCCACCTGCAGAAACACAAAAGAAAACGCAGTTCCTTCCATGGAGAATATTCGAATTCCCCAAACACGTATTTTTGTTTGGGCTGGGGGAAATATGCTTAATTTTCAGTTGCAAATGCGCTGAAGTTAAACGTGTTTCTTTTGCAGAAGTTCAAACCAACCTGCAACAACCCTGAAGCTTTTCAAATGTGCCATGGTAGCCATGGAAAAGTATGATCAAAAAATCATGATTATAAATATATAATGATTTCAAATGTGCCATGGTAGCCATGGAAAAGAAAACCAGTCATTCAGTATGATCAACCGTTATAAAAAATCAACAACAACAATAAAAAAACCCTAAATAAGGTGTCTTAGGAGGCTTTGAGCAAAGCTCAGGGGCCACCCAGCTGTTGGGGTCTCTCTAAGGTTTGGTGGGGACAAAGATGCCGGAGGAACTCAGCGGTGGCAGCAGTTACACAGAAATAATTCCTGCTGCGGAATCGCTCTGTGCGCCCCTGACTTTATTTCTATATTCAGTCCAAAATACCTTTGTTTTCGTACTATAGGTCAATGGGATTTTTAAGATATGAGTGAATTCAGTAATTTTTCAGATTCCAGGTTTGACAGTGCAATTGCAAAGCGCTCCAGGGGAGGGAGCCATCTCTGAAGAGCAGGAGGTGGAGGGAGCATGGCTTGGTAGCAGAGCAGAAAAAATAAAGAGTTAATCTGTTCAACTTTAGAAACAGGAAAGATGTTAGGAACGATATAGCATTTTTGCATAATATACAGGGAAGTTTGTTCATCATTTCAGTTTCTACAAAAGCATTAATGACTACGTTGATTAAAAATATTATTTGACTTTTGCAAGCCACAGAAAATTAAAGCATGGAATTCCGAGTGGTGCTTTCGTATTTACACATACTAAAGCAAAATATTTACAATATAAGTTTTGGTATGGAATTTATGCTGCACTTCTACTGTCAGCTGAGTCGCTCAGCGCGATCTACACTTCTTTATTGCTGTGTTTCAAAAATTCTGCATATTGAAAGCTCCATTTTCAGTAGGTACGTCCAGTCGTTCATCTGTTTGTGTAGGCGGTTTTTCTGATGGAGAAAACCAGGCAATGTTACAAGGAGAAAAATAATTCAAACTGTGAAAATGCACAATTCACAACTAAATGTTACAAGGAGAAAAATAATTCAAACTGCGAAAATGCACAACTTAAATTCTTCTTTGTTGAGTCCCAATATTTAAAAGAAAATAAAACCTTCCCTGCAAGCATCTTTTCAGAGGAAAAGAGGCCATACTTTGCTGCATAGTAGAATGTTGCAAATTATACGAGGTGTTTATAATAATGGTTGATACAATAATAATCGATACCTGTCTAATATTTACAGGGTCTCTGCAGAGTCCAGTGGTTCAGACAAGAGTCCTCCCATTTCCCCACATGCAGTCGTGGAAAGAGGAAAACAACCTCAGCTGCAACTCGATGTCTTTTTTGGAAGAAAAGTCTGATTTTAGCACAGTAAGGCTCGATACTTCACAAGTCACTGTAAATGCCAGTCGTTCAGCTTTACTACGGCACCTTAATCCTGTGGCAAAAAAAAAAAAAGAAAGGAAAATAACTCCTATTTAAAAATTCTCAAATAACTATATAAATCCTGATTTCTGCCTGGCAAGGAGGAAAGGCTTTTCCAGGTGTTGATCTTTTCCTGCTCTCAGGCAAAAAAAGTGCAGAAATGGAACACCGGTGACCGCGGTCAGCGCTGGAACTGCCAAAGGAACCGCTGTGTCACCCCTCTGCCTGGTACCAAGCCATTCGCCACCACCGGGTCACTTCCCTCCGTAACTCATGCATCTCCGTGAGAGATTTCACTTAAAACTGAAGCAAATTTATGAGCAACTGTTGAGTCTTTCCTTCTAGACGTGTCACGTTTGTTGACAGACAGAGCAACGTCCAGGACACAAACTTGGAGTAGCAATGGAGGGAATTCCTCAGCTGTGTTGGAAAGCAAAAGAGATCTTCAAGACCTTCTTGATGCAGAACTCAGGGTACAAGCCTTGAAAGAGCCTTCACCATTCTGCTGCTGGATTCAGACCAGGAGAAATTGATCTGGTGAAGAAGCCCAAACTCTCCCAAATTTGTTTACGGCCTCTCAGCAGCAGAGGCAGGATTGTAAAGGTAATAAAAGATCTCCTGGCTCCTACAGGAATGTCATTGTTTTAAGAGCTGCACATGTGTAATGCCCAGATTGGCTTTGCTGATCTGAACATCCCATCCCCAGCCTGAGACCTGCACCTGAATAACAGGATCCTTACATTTCAATTCTTTACATCCCATCCCCAGCCTGAGACCTGCACCTAAATAACAGGATCCTTACATTTCAATTCTTCACGGAACCACGGAATTGTTGGAGTTGGAAGGGACCTTCCAGAGTTACTCCAGTCCAACTCCCCTGCCAAAGCAGGGTTGCCCAGAGCACATCACTCAGGAGCATCCAGGTGGGGCTTGAAGATCTCCAGAGAAGGGGACTCCATGACCTCCCTGGGCAGCCTGTTCCAGGGCTCTGCCACCCTCACAAAATCAGTACTTTAGAGACAGGTGGAAGCGAGGTGATATTAACCCAAGGCAGTGGCCCGTTGCCCCTCGTCCTGTCACTGGCAACCACTGAAGAGTCCAGCTCCATCCTCCTTCAAACCACCAATTTACATTTAATTTCTCCCACTTGGAAGGGGAATGGGTGTTGAGGAGCAGTGCTGCTGCCTGAAGAGAAGTGGGGTCACCTCCCCCCAGAGGGGACCACCACTGGCCTGGAGCAAGGGACATTGTGGTGACCTCCCGGCTGGCCCCCACTCCAGCTGCATCGGGATGTCGTCCCCCCACCCATGTGCCACCCTGCTCCGTGCTGGGGTCATTTTCTCCAAAATCAGTACTTTAGAGACGGGTGGAGGCGAGGTGATGTTAACCCAAGGCAGCGAGGGCAGTTCACAGCCCGAGGTGGAAGCTTTTTTTTTTCAGCAGAAAGGTGGGTTTTTGCGCTCTGAAGTTTAAACCTTATTGGTGTTTTTCTCCCTGGAATTACCCGTGTCCGAGAGGCTCTGTCCCTTCCACGGCGTGGAGGCACAGCCCTGGGACTTCTGTGTCTGACCTCAAAACTGTATAAAGAAAAGAAGCAGTGGGTTCAGAAAGTGCAATCCCCAGGTACAGCATCGATTTGTAACATTTATTTCCCAAGTTGTTCTTCCCCAGCTGTATGCCCTCACGTTGGTCTGCCCAAACGCAACAGAATGCTCCCGGAAAGGAGAATTTCCCTGCTTATATTTTTAAGGCTTGCTGGAATAATGTGATTGTTTTACCAAATCCTGGTGGCGCGAGTCAGGACTTCAGGGAAACGTAGGGACACAAAACCAGCGTCGCATTCAGGTGTGGAACCTGGGACCCCCCATCCGGCCCTTCCCCGCGGCCAAACCAGCCCGGGGCGTTCCGTTTCCACGCTCCTTTTACTCTTTATAATTCGCATTTTGTAACCGCCACCCTCCTCCCTTCCCGTTTTTTAATCCCGGGCGCTCACTTTGGGAAGAATTTAGCAGCCGCCGGTACCCCCCCCCCCCCCCCCCCCCCCCCTGGTAATGAGCAGGACCAGTTTGAGGAGGGGGTTGAGAAATAGTCTCCCAAGAGTTTTCAAAGGTTAACACAAGGCAGAGGAAATGTGCCAAAAATGTGAGAGTCAATAGTAATGGCTTGCTTACCCCCGGACCCCCCCCCCCCCACCCCGCGCCGAGGGGTTCGAATTCTAAAACCGAGGTTTTTTAGATAAAAACAAGAGTAGTTCCCGCACGGGGTACCGGTGTGCGGAGGGCACCCCCCCGCCACCCCGCATCCCCTCCGCGCCGACCCCGCCCCGCGGCTGCGGGCAGAGCGCGGTGAGGGCAGGGCTTCAGCGCGGCTTCACCGCGCCCCACTGCGCCTGCGCGGGCCGTCCGCGCCTGCGCGTTGAGCTGTCCGGGGCGGTGCGCGCAGGCGCAGTCCCACAGAAGGGCACATTTTGAGCCCGGGCAGTTTTCCCTATCGGGAGCTGTCGGAAGGAGCTCGGCTCCGTTCGGCTCGGCTCGGCGCCACCGGGGGGAGGCCGGCGCTGAGCGGCAGAGGCGGCGCGGCGGGGGTCCGGTGGCGGCGGCACCTGCCTGCTGAGGAGGCCGCTCGCAGCCCCCGGTGGAGGGGAGGGAGAGAGGGAGGGGGGCGCACCGGCGGTGAGGGGGAGCCCCCAACTTTGCCCCGCCGCAGGAAGTCCCTCGAACCTGGCCGAAGAGGGGCCGGGGCTCCTCCGTCCCTCACCCTCCGCGACGTCTGAGGGAGAAAAATGCCGAAGAAGAAGCCCGGGCCGATTCAGCTCAACCCGGCTCCGGATGGATCCGCCGTCAACGGGACCAGCTCTGCAGAGTGAGTGGAGCCTGTTTTGGGGGGGTGGCCGGGGCTCCGGCGGGGCTGCCCGCGCTCCGCGTCCCTGAGGTGACGGGCGCGGCCGCCGCCGCCTCCCCGGAGCGCTGTCGGGGGAGGGGATCTTCTGCCGACCGGCCCCCGCCGGGAAAAGCGCGTATCCCGGGCGGTGAAGGGGCAGCAGCCCCGCTGGGGCAGTCTCTCCTGAAGCCGTCTGGCTTTAAACCGGCACGGCCTGGTCGCTAGAAAAAGTCAAAACCTGCTGGTTCCTTGAGGGGGGGGTGGGTGCACCCGCTGTGGTACCTACTGAGGGGCTCCTCGGCGGGGAGAGGTGACCGGTGGCTTCGGCGATAAACAAACTTTCCGTCCGATCTTCCAAGGTGAATAAGGTGGGGGAAATAAATAGAGGACAACTTGTATAACTCTCTTCTGGTAGCCCGTAGTGGTATCTGCTGAGTTCTTAGATTACATAATTACCTGGTGAGTGCCAAAGGATGCCGTTTCCAGTAGCATATTTCATAAATGTGTGCGTGGGAGAAATCATATGTAAAATCCCGGATTTACAGAAAAAGTGTCTTGTTTTTCCTCCTCCCTGGCTCTAAACCAAACCGACGCGAGTTTCAGTAAATCTGTTTTCCAGTAATTAGCCGGCGATGCTGGGAGCATCAGTGAGTGCGTTTGGAGAAAATGCCCCCGAGCTTTCCTGTGTGTAACACAAACGCTGCTCTGTAGGAGTGTGTGGAAGGTAGGTCTGAGCCCGTCACTCCTGAGGGGGAGAAAAAGGACAGAACACTGGCTTGTTGCATGTTGCTCGTGGAGCCCCTGTTGATCTTGCAGATCTGGGCAAGGATAGTGGCTTCGGTTACGCAGATCCAGTGTCAGCATCCTAAAGTAATGAAGTGTTACACAAGGGTTTTGTTTGAGGTTATCACGTCTGTGTTCACCACCTAATTTTTAGGTTAAGGTGAGGGACTAGCTCTTAGCTGAGCCGTGAAACACGCATGCATCTTGAAAGAACAGACTCTTGTCCCTGTATGGTCAGGTCAGTCTCCCTTGGACACGTAAACTGAGCTCCTTATGTATCACCCTGACAAAGGCAGAATTGCAGTGACATCTACAATTCTTGGGCTTGAAAGTATGGGCTCTGCATGTGTTGTTGCCACCTTTTCAGGCAGGTTCAGATCTCACTTAAACACCCAAACATTAAAGAAAAAAAAAAGAAATTCAGTGTCTAGCAGCTCCAGCTGTGACATTTCTAGCAAAGTCTTTTGATGATTAACTGAGAGATGAGCTATTTAAAAACTATTCTTTGGCAGGAGTTACTGATTGTATCGAAGCATTATGATCTGACTGTTATGCAGGTTTTGTTCTGTATTGATAAGGGGAAAATCTTATTTTTATGTCTGCCTGTATAGCACCTTCCAGTTGATTTTTCTTCAAGGTAGTTGTGGATACCTTGATTTAGTCTTCAGGGACCCCTACTGCACACTATTCTTGCTTTATATAATACATCTGATACACCTGTCATTTGCTTATTTTGATATCTAAAGCTGATCACCAAATGCAATATATTAAAAACCATATTTCATCAGTATTTCTTGAGTCAAGTAGTGTCATTAATTTTTAAATTGCTTTTACTATGTCTTATACCCACTTACTTGCTGGAATCCTTTGGAGACTCATGGGAGTGTTGAGTCCTGGTGAACTCTCTTGCTTCATTTTCTGTTTTGTATGTTGATTTGTTTGGTATCAGTGTCTCCTAGACTCATGCTCTTTGTCTTATATGAGACCTTTTACCCAGCTTTTGTCAGACTTAGAGATATGTCAGATATTTTTAAAAGAAGTAGCTTAGTGAAAGTAAATCCAGCACCCAGTTTTCCTATAAACAACCATAATTAATTAATCATGGAAATATCCCCTCATCCTGCTAATATTAAATCCTCATTGTGAAATATTTCAAATAGCAAAGAATAGTTGCATCAGAATTTGGAAATGGGTTTTGGAATTAAATTGAAACTGCTTGTTTGGGCTTTGCCTTCATCTCTAAGATGGTTTTATTTTTTTTCCTCTCCTGTGCCTCTGATTTCTTTATTTTTTTTTTCCTTGCCCCCTTCTCCCTCCTTTGGTTAGTGCTTGAGATTAAGAGGAGAGGTGTTTGTCACGCCTTATACATTGTCAAGTGGTTCAAGTATGCTATGCATCCCTGGACTACCATATTAACACTTTCTAAAGCTCTGTTCCTGGTATAGTGGAATTTTGGCTACGTGAGTCTCCAGTTACTCATTTGCTTCCAGCATATACAAACCTGTCACTTTGCAAATGATCTTGGAGGCTTCCCTGGTTTTTTTTTTTTTTTTTTTTTCAGAACAGAGAACCTCTCAAGAGAAAAGAATGAAAAGAGCTCAAATTACTTAGGGAAGTAAAATGATGATTCAGAGCGAGGTGGTATGATCGCTGCCTATAAATGCATGAAGGACCTGAACATCCAGGAGGAAGGAAGTTATTTAGGCCCGAAGGCAATGTTGGCACGAAGTCAAACGGATATAGATTGGCCATCAGCAGTTGTGCGCTGGAATTCGGAAACTTTCTGTCAGAGGCAGGAGGTTCTGCCACATATTCTGACAGGTATTTGACCCCCGGAATCTCTTCCGAGTTTTTAAATAGCGAAGCTTAAGACTTTAAGGAATGAGTATATATGATACTTTAGCGTCCTGACAGAAAGGAAGGGGAAAGGGAGGAAATGAAAGAAGGGGCTGGATGATTCAGGATGTCCTGCTTTCTGTTCCTTTCTTGTCCTCTGGCTTCATCCTTATTTGGCCACGGGAACTCATTGACTAGAGTAAGGAAAAGCTTTAGTGTGAGGTGTAGGGCTTTAAGAAATGTGTTGTTTGTGAGGCCTGGTTCTTACTTGCATGACTCTTCTTTCCCTCCCTGGCAAGGCAGTATAAAGGAGAGTTAGGTTGCTTGCAATTTAAATGTGTACATACCGAATATTTTAATGAAAGTGTCAATATGTTTTTTTCCCGACGGCAGTTTTTGTTATTTGTAGCAATTACTTTAATTATTTGTACAGGATGTTGTGGTTCTCTCTGGGGCTTTCCAAATCCCCAGCTACCTCGGCTGGACAATAGAGACAACTTAATAAAAGACTTTCCTACGCCGTGAGCTTCGCTTCTGTTTTTGACACTTCCTGCAGAGGAGCAGTTGCACGGGGAGGGCTGAACCTGCGCTGCTCTTCTGGAGCTTCAGATCAGCAGAATGAAACCAAGATGACACTGCCCAGCTGCAAGTTTAATTTCATTCTGGCTCTTCTGGAGCTGCACGGTTGTAACTGGGCAAAGATTTTTTTGCGGAGGGAACAGGGGAAGAAAAACCCAAACAACCTGAAAGAAAATTAGTAAAAGGAATATTTATCTTTTGATTGAACAGAGTCTGGAGCTGCACGGTTGTAACTGGGCAAAGATTTTTTTGCGGAGGGAACAGGGGAAGAAAAACCCAAACAAACCAACCGGCAGGAAAATTAGTAAAAGGAATATTTATCTTTTGATTGAACAGAGTTTGCTGTCTTAATAGCCAAAAGAAACAAGAACAAAATCTCTGCTTTCTGTTCCTTTCAAGCTTCTGACTCCCTCTGAATATCTGACGGTTGTTACCCAATTTCTTTAAATGTTTCTCTAAGCCCAAACTAGACCCAGAACACGAAGCAAAGAAGCAGGAGGGCAGGTTTCAAGGTAGTGCCACTTTCTGTATTACAACACGTTTTTTGTTGACGTGAAAAGAAAGTTACTTCATGGCATTCTTTAATTGCGTCTTTACAAGAAAGATAAGGAGAGGGAAGGGTCATATTTATAATGAGAGAGTTAATTTGGTATAAAATGCCAGTGAAGACAAGGTGCAACTAGTTTTTAGCTGACTGTAGGTAGTGCACTAAATGCCAGATAAGGCAGGCATGGTGCTGTGTACAGCCCGTGCTGACACACAAGCTACGCTCTCTTATCTCAAATAGCATTAGTTAAAATTAGTATTAGTTAAAATGCCCATATCCAGAAGTACACATATAGAAAAAAATCGGTGAAACCTGTGCCTTGAGATTCTAAATTAAGTTTAATGAGAGAGACTGTCTTGGCATATAATGTAGACTGTATTGACAGCCTATTTTGAAAGTGCTTCCTTGAAAAAGTGAAATAAATACTCAATACAACGTATTTTGTTGTGGAGCACGACAATCCAATGAGCCACCAAATGAGCATTAGAATTACTTTTTTAGTTCATTAGTCTGTCATGGGAGGGATTACTGCTGCAGTTAAGTATGTTTATTAATGTTTCTCATGACTTGAAACTTCTAATTACAGAAGAGTCCCTTTATGGTTACTTTTCCTGTGCATCAGTTACATCGGGATGTCTACAAACTAACTCCTCTAAAGCCTTTCTTTTCACCTCGACTGAGTAAATAAAAACTTCCTTGTCTCTGGTATGATAACTTGAACCTTCCAGAAGTGCCTGGGGCTTTGAAAGGAGAGCTCATCTTTTTGAGTGCCACTGACTCTTTCTGTATTTTATAAGCATTCATATTGAAAAGGTGTTGGGATTGAAAAGAACACTTCTGGTTTGTGTTTAATTAGATAAAAATGTAAAGAAAAAAACCCATAGAACAAGGAATGTGCATCTTTCTTTAATATGCTGTAAGGAGCTTGGTCTTTGAGAGGAATTAAAAAAGATATTGTCTGTAGGTCTTTACTACCTTGGTAACTTTATTTCTTTAAAGGATGTAGCCTGAAAGAATGTCCAAGGACAATTGTGAGTGCAAACAGGCCATCAGCCATGGAGCTGTTGTTATTGGTGGTGTTTGCACCCATGATGAGCAGTTCTGGGGTTTCTTTTCAGTACATCTGAGCCTTAGAACTGTTCAAGCCAAAGAGTAATTTCATAGAAATGGATGACTGGCAAAATCCAGCCATAGGTTAAGAACTGCAGTATTAATTAGTCAGCTCTTTCTTGTTGCT